TTTTCTTCGGGACTTTCCTCAACCGGTCAACTCCCCTATCTCATACTAGTGTCCATGAATGAACCCGAATTATTGCCCGCCACTCACCGATGACTGGAAGCGGTCGAAGGTTTCCATTGGTGAACGCACTACCACGCTTGTCAGCGGAGTCTGCTAAATTTAAGAATGAAATTCTTGCTGCTCAAATATTGAAAGCAGATTTTCAGCAATAACGATCTAAGGATTAACAGATCATCTCTGATCTTCTTCCATGGATTAAAGAGCATGAAGCAAAGAGGCTATGGTACCAATTTCTAGTGAGGATGGAGGCAAGATTTTTTCGTGAACAATTCCTCTAAGTTGTGAGCCATTTTTGTACAGAATAAGGTCGCCACTGTTGGCGTCCACAGACGAATGCACGGGAGGAAGGAAACGGCGACGACCAGCACCGCTGCACGGAAGATGCTTTTCCCGTTTGCACCAGTGTCCAGGATAAGGTTCTCTCTTCAGTGATGAATTACGAATTGTTTCTAATCTCCTGTCCATTAGATATGAAAGTAACTTCGGTTTTTTCCCATTTATTGTGGCTCAATATCAGTTCTCATCGAAATGATTATTGAGCCACCCTGGGCAATATAATAGCTGTAGGTGCTTACCTGAGGCTGAGTTTCCTCTTTCTTTATTGGGTCCTAAATATAGGCGTATAAGCAAACATGCTCAATGAAGCTACACTTGTGTTTTCCCATTGCTTAGGCAGAGTTCAGAGTTGACGATCGTACGCGATAAGGCGACAGAATATAAGGGACCTTGGGCAGTATAATAGCTGTAGGTGCTTACCTGAGGCTGGGTTTCCTCTTTCTTTATTGGATCCTAAATATAGGCGTATAAGCAAACATGCTCAATGAAGCTACACTTGTGTTTTCCCATTGCTTAGGCAGCGTTCAGAGTTGACGATCGTACGCGATAAGGCGACAGACTATAAGGGAGGGATACGTATCGATTAGGTGATTGGGCGGGTAGGCGAGTAGGCCATTAGGCGAGGGCGATAAAAAAGAGATACGTATCGATTTTTGCTCCGTACATTGTGCGATCTAATCACCTACTTCCTGATCGCTTAACCGATACTCATTCTTCCCTCATAGACTAGTTGCCTAATCGCATGTAGATCGTTCACGAACGCTGGATTCACCATTGTTTTTTGGTTTGAGTGTTCTGGTCTTATCACTATTAATCTTTTTCTCCCAAATTCATATATTCTCCTGGGAGTGGAGATGATCTGGTAGAGAGTGGCATCACGTCCCGCGCCGCGCACGATCCCGAGGTCAAATCCGAGAAGTATGCACTAAGAAATAGAGCAGCATGGAGCATGAAGGAATTATGCCTTCACCAGTCTCCTCTTGGGATGCGCCACGAACGCGATTTGATCTGTACTTAGAATTGCGATGGCTGGCAAATGTAAATCCTACTTTCCATTTCAAAATATTTTGAACCGAAAAGACAAAAGGGATTGTTGACTTCGGCACTCTTCGATTCGGGTATGG